AGGGGTTGGGCTGGGTGACCCCCAGAGGTCCCTGCCAACCCCTACCAGTCTGTGATTCTGTGATGTTCAGCCACCTGCACCGGGCTGCCTCTGATGTCCTCCGAGTGAAACCTGACGCTGCTCAGCAAAGACACACCTCTTCCAGGGTGTTGGGCAAAATTCTGCATTTTAACGTAAGACAGGAAACATGAAAAGAGCCCGGCAGAACCCAAACAGCACCCTCGGTTAGGCCGAGGTTCGCCAGCTCCCGGGGAGCAGATCAGAGGGTTTGCTTCACTCCTCCATCCACCCGCGATTTTCCAGCGCTTGGGCAGCCGCAGCTCCTCCGCGAGCAGGTTTTAACGGACCGGCACTGCCGCTTCCCCCCGGGACGGCTCCGCAGAGGGGCTGGTTTTCCTCCCGTCTCTTTCATGCTGTATTTCCTGACTCCACTGTGGGATGGGTCGGTTGCAAAAGATTCTCATTCCCTTTTTGGGATTGGTTTTGGCCTTCTGGTTTTATTCTGCGAGGGAGAATTTCAAACCGGGTAAGTATTAAAAGTGCATCTGATTTTAAGGAAAAATATTAAAAGCCACGTTTGAGTGTTTTGCATAGAAACTGTACAGAGCTTGGACCAAGCTACGTCTGAGCCTTTCTGCGGTGGCTGATACTGGAAAGCTGCTTTAACAAAGATCTGAAACCAAACGAGCCGGTAACGTGCAGAAATAGCTCCCAAGGGAGCAGGCGAGGCAGGGGGGTCTGAGAGCCAGCGGGCTCCGAACACTGCGTTTTCCAGTGTGCAGCAAAAGAATTTATAAACACGGCTTTTAAATGTTGGATTTTAAGTTTTGAAGCAAGCACTTAGCGGATGATTTTTATCACAGAATAGTCTGGGTGTTTATAAGTTGTGTCCTGACTTGTGGGAAAAAACCTGCGTGAAGAGCCGAGCGCTGTCCCCGTGTCCCTGCGCTCGGTGAGGGGCTGCAGCTGCCTCCCGGCGCAGCGGTGTCCAGCGGACGGAAGAGACGTCCCAGTGCCGGACACGCTGCCCTCGCAGGCTCACCGAGCTTCCAGCTAACTACTTACTCTCAGGGGCGTTAGGGGATTTTGTTTTATTTTTGAATAGGGTCTGGATAAATTAAATCCCTGTGCCTTGGTCCCCAGAGATGCTGAAAGGGAAGCGGGTGCTTGTCACCGGAGCGAGCACTGGAATCGGCGAGCAGATGGCGTATCACCTGGCACGGATGGGCTCCCACATTCTGATCACAGCACGGACCGAGGCCAAGCTCCAGAAAGTAAATGGCAAGCCCAGCACTCTCACACGCATGCTCGTGGCGGTGCACACACACAGGAAGGCCAGTCTGGCGTCACAGGCACACGCGTGGCTGTACGCACATGGAACTGCCGCGGCACAAACGCCCGGCCGGCAGCTGCAGACACGTACCTGTACGCGTGCGCTGCCTGCAGCACCCACGTGCACAGAAGTCCCTCTCCTGCAGACACGCGCGCTCTGCCCAGCACACGCTAGGATACTCGGACTTGCTTAGTTACGCACGCGCATCCCCACGCACGCGCATCCCCATGCACGCGCATCCCCACGCACGCAGGCTCCCTCAGCCACACACCCTCATTCCACTGCAGTCATCGACTGCTCACCCGACACGCACGCAACTCCGGCACAGACCGCGCCGATAAAGAGCCAGACTGCCTTGGGCAACGCATTCACCAGAGCAATAATTTTTCAGGCTCCCTTTGAAGCTTAAAAGGCTCCAAAGACACTCCCCAAAGGCCAAACCGCTGTTCTAAGGCAGGGACGGGTCGGAGGGAGCAAAAACACCATGGAGGACATGGCCTTCGCCCGGCACGTGGTGGAGGAGGCACACGCCACGCTGGGTACGTTCACAGCCCGCGCGCGGAGCATTGCACCTCTCCTCGGCCATGCTGCTCTTTGCCACGTGCCCACTAAGAAAAAGCGGGAGAGATGGAGATGGGGCGAGACAGGAGAGATTTCTTCCCCTAATTCTGCCCTTTCCAGTCCCACTCCTCTGCCCGGCTTCATCGCTCCAGCTCAAGCTGAACTGCGCTCTCGATTTCAGCTCTGTGCCCTCATGACACCCTGTTCCAGTGTCATAATCCTGGGTTTCATCACCCTCAGCTACCGTGGGCTGAAACGGTCCATCGGGCCCAGCGCAGCCCTGCTATTGCGGTCACGGGTCACGGCGGCGGAAGCGCAGTGTTTCAGCCCCAGGCTGAGCACCCCCTCTCCCATCCCGGGACACAGCTCCAGGGTGATCTCCCTTGTGCCACGGTATTTGTGTTTTGAACCAAGGGAAAAAAAAAAAAAATCACAATAAAATTTTTCCTGGCAGCCACCACCCAGACTGTCCCCCTACTCCAGGGAGGACAATCCACAGCTCTGACCCAAAAACCTGATTTCTTTTGAGGACATGTATGCTGCTCCCAGGAAAGGCTCTGCTCTGCTGGCTGTAGCCCTCTCCCACCCAGCACTAACGCCTGCTCCTCTGCTGGCAGGAGGCCTCGACATGCTGATTCTTAATCACGTCGGCACGTCGTACTTTGGTTATTTCAACGGGGACGTTGAGCACGTGCGAAAGCTCCTCGACATCAACTTCCTCAGCTACGTGGCGATGACTGTGGCTGCGCTGCCCATGCTGAAGGAGAGCAAGGGCAGCATCGTGGTGGTTTCATCCATGGCAGGTGAGCAGGGAGCAAGGTAGATGACACAGGATTCAGTCAAAAGACACCATGGGCTGATCTTAGGAGCAGCACACCGAGACACCGGGCATCCTAAAGGAGCCGTAACTGCTTGATGCACTCACAAAAACCCCCAAACCCAAATCCAGATCTTTTTTTGTATTTTCTCAATAGAATTTCTTCTGTGATGCAATCCAGTCACCCCAGCTTGCTTTTTGACCAGCCCTGTAATTAAACCCCACACTCTGGTGTCAGGCTCATTAGAGCAGCAGAGCTCATATTCCACCCCCACCCCCCCAGTTCTATGGAGAAAAGGGGAAATACAGTAATTTCTCGCTGCATTGGTTCCCTGACTCTTCATCTTGGTTTGCTAGGTCAAGTTCCTGCCAATATTTGTAGAGTGAGTTATTGACTGACTCTATTCACAAAAACATGACTCTCTTCTAATAAATCTCTGTTAAGTCAGGCAGCTAAATTACTAACAGATGTCCCTGCTCCCAGGCAGCGTGCTGGTTAGCCTCCTGGTGACCAGCTCGCTATCCAGAGACAGGGGTTTCAACCTGGCTCCATCTCTGCCCGCGGAGGGTTCGTAGTTCTGACGGGTCGCTCACACCCCAAGCAGAGACACGAGCCGAGGTGTTGGCCTGAGGACCCTGAAAGGGCTGGAAGCTGACAGGAGCGTTGGCACTGCTGCTGTTCAGGTGCCAGGATGGCATCTCACTAACAGTAAACCCCCCCCGGGTAAAATACTTTATCTGATGCAGGGCAAAACAGGGGTTTAGGCAGAGCCGCTTTCCGTGCAGTAACGCGACTTTACTCTGCGTCCAGGTAAAGTCGGGTTTCCCTTCACGGTGCCCTACTCTGCGACTAAGTTTGCCTTGGACGGATTTTTCAGCTCCCTGAGGCAGGAATTCCACATGCAGAATATCGATGTTTCCATCACGCTCTGCATCCTCGGCTTCATCGACACTGGTAAGACCGGTGCTGTCCGATCGGGAGCCCGGCATCGCCCTGGCAGCTC